TATCAAATTATCTCAACACTTTGTTACAGATAATCAAACTTAAAATAAAACACAAAAACATATTTATTTAGACTGACCTGTAGACATCCAATTAATATTTTTTCTAGATTTCACTAAAATCTGTCTTTTGGCTCATGACATTTTTCTAACAAACAAACAACTTTCTGAGAGTTTCATAAAAATATAAGACGTTCACAAGATATTTTGCTAACAGATAAACACAAATACCTCCCTCGCTGTCTGCAGTGACTGATAATAAATAGAACATTATTAATAAAATTCTTAAGTGTTTTTTTCTAAATTCTCATGAGAAATGTCATGATGTTTGACTGGTAACATTGATTCTTTAAACTTCTAAAGAAAGGAGGAGCCAACAAGTTTACTGGATTACTGTGAGTAAACTGTGAACTCCTTTAAACCAGCCTAAACTAGTTTTTAGAAAAATAAAAATAAATCCTCACGGTTCATGAACATGATGCAACTAGTTGTCACTGATGACGGTTGTCAACAAAAATGCAGAATCTTTTTCGCTCATTGGTTTGTTTTGGCTCGTTCTGACTCAGCGCTCCACCAAACTGTCATTCAAGTTTTCAAAGTGAAACAAGACGACTTCCTGTGTTCTCCAACTGTCACGTACAGTAAACTGAGTACTGGTGAGCTGCAAGGAAAAGCATACATTTGTCATAATCAAACAAGCAAGCCAAATTTCTCCTCTTTGTATTCACACTTTACTGGAGTAAATGTGTTTCAGACAACTTTTTACTTCTGCTCCTTATATTTTCATGCAATTATTTACAGAGGTATGCAGTAACAAAGTTAATTTACTGCAGTACTGCAATTAAGTACAGTTTCTGAGAATTTGTACTTTACTTGAGTGGCATTTTTTAAATTTATTTTACTTTTTACTTTACTACATTTTAATGATAAAATCCCACTTTTTACTTCATTACTTTTCTCTAAAGGCTTTAGCTGCTAGTTCAGAGGTGGCCAAACATTTTTCCTGAGACGGCCAAGATTAACATCAATCTGAGGGCCGCGGGCCAAATGCAACAATATGAGAAATGCAAATACTTAAGTAAAGTTGTTTTATATTATATGATTAAGCTAGAAGCCAATGAGGTTGCCCACATTCTTTAGTTTGTTTGTTTTTTCAGCCCATGGACATGGAGAAAATTTAACGTATGCTCAGGCAGCAAAGGCTCATGGGACTTTTCATAATTTAAAATTTGAGTATACTGTATGTGGTATGGTGTGCAAATCTATATATGGGCTTTAATCTAAACTAAATGTCTCTTGTGGTTACTTGTATTTTATATTTAATCTTAACGTAATTACAATCTAGTAACCAGGACAACTGCTGGTGGGCCAAATCAAATGGCTCGGCGGGCCAATTTTGGCCCGTGGGCCCCGCTTTGGGCACCTCTGCGCTAGTTATTTATTTTGGCCATGTTTGTGTCTATTTTGTTCCACCAACATACTGTAAAATTACACACTACATGCATTATTATTACATATGTGAAGTTACTGATCTGTCCAGCGTAGCAGAAAAATTTCCCATTAATTCTCGACAACACTCATTTGATATGTATAGTTTAAAAACTTGAAAAATTTAAGCACTTTAGTATTTTTGAAAGCACATACTCCGTACTTTAACTCAAACAAAAATTTGACATGAAATGAAAAAATAAGTATTTAATTTATATTACATTCCAGCGTCTCATTGTTCAGAAAAATAAATTTGTGTCATGTGCCGGTGCAATCCTTCACACCTGCACATGACACAAGTATCATCACACCACAGCAGGACTGCAGAAAATACAGTTTAGTATCAAGATGACTGCAGCTCAAACAGGTAGACTTGTGCATCCCGTTATCCAACATTAACATTAAAATAAAACATTACAGATATAATGGCTGTAATGTTTTTGAGGGGAGATGGAGTTGTACACTCAGGTGCAACCTAAGCTTTTGTGATCGATGGCTTTTCCCCCCTTTACTTTACTTCAGGTAATAAAAAAACAGTATTTTTATACTTTTATTTGAGTAAAAAGCTTGAGTTGGTTCTTTAACTTGTAAAGAAGTATTTCTAAACTCTAGTATCTAAAACTTGAGTGAAGACTGTGAATACTTTTGACAACTCTGTGTGCTGCTCACCGGAGGTCAAAATTTAAGCAGCTGCTGTGGTTTGTTTGACATGTGAA